ATATTGAAATAATATATATATTTATATTTAATATAACTTTAACGTATACTTTGATCCTTTCCTAATGTTTTTACATAGCAGCATATGAATAAAACTTGTACTTCAGATAACTAAAAAAAAAAAGAAAAAAAAAAACCCTGATGTGTCATTGTGCAGCTGCAAGCAGCTGATGATCCTGTCACAAAGCACAGTGTCTTATGTGTTTGAAAAAGGGCTTAAAATGAGATTATGGCAATTTGTTTGGATGTAGTGATGTTAATGACATTCATCTTTGAGTGTTATTAAATACATCTGAAAAATGTGTTTCTTGCAGATGAAAATCCATTCGCCCTCGCCCCATAAGCAGGTCCCATCAAAGTGCAATGACTACTTCTTCAATTATTTCACACTTGGAGTGGTGAGTGGGAAGCTTCTCTAAACAAATTCCTGTAAAGTTTTGATTTAGCTACACAGCAATCCTTTCAGAAGGCCAAAGGCTGTGGGAAATGAGAGACTGCAAAGCTCTTGATTCCTGTTTTGGGAACCTCTGGATATGAAGAGCAATGTTGACTTTTCTCTAGCACTTGGAAATTCAATCAGTAACGTTTTACCATCTCCACCACTGGATGGAGGGCTCTTTGTTTCTGCTTGGGCATTCTCTGAAGTTTTCTCTCTCTGCCATGCCTGATGCATAGGTATACCAGTTCTTGTATCTGAAATCCAAGCTCTCGTCCTACAGAACTGAGATGGGTGTATCAGTTGGGAAAGTTTGCTGAGTTGTGGGATGCAATTCAACCTTCATGTCCCTCCTTACAGCTATTTTGCTTTAGTCTACGTTACTGTACATAATATGCAGAGTAATGAGACCTCCTTAGAAACCTTGCCAACATGAGCAAATGAAAGTGCAATTGTGATTGAGTGCTGGAGGAAATGTGCATCTATTTGAATTTACAAATAGTCTCATTTTCTAATACTACTTCTCACAGTTCCATTTGGTTCCAGTGAGACAGATGCATAAGGCACATTCCTCTCTCCATGTTGCTTCATGTCTGTGTGGTTTTTCTTCAACAGGATATTCTCTTCGATGCAAACACTCACAAGGTGAAGAAATTTGTCCTGCACACAAATTATCCTGGTCATTACAACTTTAACATGTGAGTATAAAGAACTGATCTGTTAAAGAGTATTTTAAAATGCCTGAAAAGGAAATCTTATGTTCCCTTTATAGAATTCCAGTATATTTTTTTTCCCAGGTGTTTTTGATGTATCTAGTGACCTGTGGAGGCTTCAGCCATCATTATTAGCACTTCTTTTATTTTTCTTTTTTTTAAGCAATAAATAAGGTAAAGTAGTTCTTGATCTAGCTATAATATGCAAACTCTCTTGCTAGAGGCAAACTTTGTATTAGCAAGAGTGTCCATTTACTGGTAGGTAGGCTACTGGTTTTTTTTGTGACATTATTTCAGTTAGTGATTAAAAAAAAAAATTTTTCTTATGCTTCTGAACATATTTTCAATACTTTTAAAATGTAAACGCTTTAGGGGAGTAATATGAGTTAAGGAATAAGTGACTGGATGTCTGATTAAGGTGAAAGTGTTTTCAGGCAGTTGGCGTTAGTGACAGAGAAATCTATAGTACTGTTTCTAAGCTGAGTATTTCTCCATGTGCTCTGTGTAACAGCAGAGTTATTTGTGCTGAAGGACCTTTTGTGTCCTTTAGAATATTATGGTAGGATACTGCCAGGCTGCTGCCTTTTTTGATGTAGAAAATAGAAATGAGAACTTTTCTTCTTAATCTGTTAGCATTGAGACTCTCATTTTATTATTCATATGACTTCATTAAACTGGTTACTAAGAGCCCTAAGTTTGTGCTGTGCAGTTTATTTTGGGTCTTCTGTTTTCTAATAGCTTTATGATTTGCACTTTTCTAGTTACCATCGCTGTGAATTCAAGATTCCACTAGTCATTAAGCGAGGTGAGTGGTTCATATCTTGTTCTGCTTCAGGGGTTGTGTACAACAAAATGCTCAAAGGGGAGGTATGATCAATTTTCATTCATTATCAGAGGATGCTAACAGTGAGAGTCATTGAGACAGAGGAGAAATTTTGAGCCTATGTTTCTATTTGTGAAGTGAAAAAAGATACTGGAAGACAACTTAGCAGTTCTCTGATTTTACTTACCTTGTTTAATCACTTGGATCATAGAACTATGTCCCAAACCACCACAGTCCATTTAGCTGCGACGTGACTAATTTTCTGCAATGCTGCCACTCTACTAAAATCAATTACCTTGTGCCTGGAGGCTGTAAGGCAGTGTTAGTCTGAGCTGGTCTGTCCAGTAGACTGTTGAACTCTTTAATCTTGAACTCGATCTTGAAAGGCTTATTAATGATATTTAATATAAACTGGTTTAGCTGGGAATTGGAACAAATATCTGAAATACATTGGCTCTATGTAGTATAGACAAAGTATGTCTGTTGTGTTCACTTGAAAATCTCTACTTGAAAAAAAACCAACCCATAATCAGTAGTGCTGAATTCTACATGATATTTAGATATGACCAGCTATGTGCATGTAAATAATCTCAACAAAGCATGGGGAAGCTTGATCATAGTGATCGAGGTCAACTTCTTTTACTAAGAATTAACAGATGTACAGGGAAAGTGTGTATTTTGATTATCCAGGGAATACTGGATGCTGGCTAAAGTTTTGGCCAGGGATGCTTTCTCCATTTTTGATTTGTTTTCACTGAAAGGAATTTCCTGGGTGAAGTGCAGTTCTCCTGTGGCTGTCACAGAAGTTTGAGCATGTAGAGGAATAAAAACCTGAAAAAAACCATGTCCATCTATACAAGCTTATATGGAAGCTGATTTGTACTTCAGCCAAGAGAATAAGCATGGAAGTTCTCACTTTTTAAGTTATTTTCCCACAATAGGGTATTGTGCAGTACTTCAGAGGTGTTAATTTCTGATTATTTTTATTCACCTGAAGTAGTACCATGGATCTCTTCTGAATATGTCTCAGGTTTTGGGATTTGTTTGTTTGTTTTTAATTCACCTTTTTGGTCTCTAGCTTATGTTCAGGACATGTAACAAGTTGAAAACAAATGTTACAAAATTTATCAAGAGCCCATCTTCTTCCATGTGGTGGCAGTGCCTGATGCAGCTTTATTAACTCCCTTCTATAGTTCAACTTCAGACAATAAATTGACAACCAGAGTTCAAGTGAACTCTTTCAGCACAGAGAGAACATGTTTATTTAGCAGGTGGAGAATACAGAGGAGCTTTCAATCAAATTCAAGACCATTTGCTATGTTTGACTTGTTTAGTGTCTGTCTGTTCCCACTGCTTCAGGAAGGTGCTTTCAATATTCAGAAATCCCCAAATGTAGGCACGAAACAGCGCTTGAAGCCACCAGCAAACAATTGATCTTTAAATCTGTAAGCATAAATGCAGTGCTGTCCTCACCTGCAGCTTTGTTTATTATTTAATAGGTAGACTGCAATTCCTAAGCTCTCTGCTATTTTTGATTTGGAAAGAGTGGCATTTTGGTTGAAAGAGGTGACATTTTAGCCAGCTCCTGAGTCTCGAGCTGTCAGTTTTAGGCAGCTTGTTTGGACGTGATGAGTAGCACATCATGTTATCTCAATGAGTGGCTGTGCTAGGCATGTTCACTTATAGAATCATAGGATGGTTTGGGTTGGAAGGGACCTTAAAGATCATCCAGTTCCAACCTCCCTGCCATCAGCAGGGACACCTTCCACTAGACCAGGTTGCTCAGTGCAAAGAGATGTAGTTTCTTTTACACTGGCATTCTTCTGTGTAAGATTACAACTTAAAAATGCGTAGTGTTAGAACTTGGAACTTGTGAGAAATAGGCAGATTCGTTTAATCACCTTACCTGGCATTTAATCAATGTTGTTGACAATTCTGATTGCTAGTAAATGCTGTTAAATTTGTGTATGAACTGATCCAATGCCTTTATATCTCCTGTTGTCTGAACTAACCTCCCTAAATGAAGGATTCTATAGGATATTATATTATTATATTCAAGCATAAACAATAAAGGCTTTTCTGTTTTTCTTTCACAGATAGTGCTGATTCACAGACTGAAACGTGTACAACATACAGCAAGGTAAGTCTGTGCAGAACTGAATGTTTTCCTTCTTCTCTTAAACCATATAAAGGATCTATGCTGAATTTGCAGCACGCTTTGAAGAAATAATAGCAGTTGTAGTGTGTTGTTTTAAAATAGAAAAGTTGAAGGCCAAAAGTTCATATGTTTTGTGCTTTAAGCATTTTGTTGTAAGTGTTAAAGGCATTTGTAATAGCACACTTCAAGTAAACTAAATTATTGCATTTTAAGGTACTTAGAGGTAGAAATAGAACAGTAAAATAAGCAATAGAGGAAAGCAGTAGCAGCGGTGGCTGAATGTTAGCTGGAGGAAATATTTCTAAACAAAATATTCACAAAGCTTTTCTACTTAATGTAGCTCTTGAAGACATGTAGTATTTAACCAAGAGGGTCCAGTGCCCTTCCACCTTCTTCTGAAGGGTGACAGTAATGGGACATTTCTCAGGCAGCAGCAGGCCTTCAAAAATGTCACTGCTCGTGTGACATCTCCTGATGACAGTGAACCCCTTGAAGGCTGTATAGCCTTGCTACCTAAATGAAATTTCCAACTAGACAGTTGCTGCTGCATGTTTGAGAGGTAAATTAAGTTGAAAAACTTCTCAAGAGCTGTGTTCAGCAGTGACTCTACCAGTAACATTCAACCAAGGTGGGTGCTGCTCTCTTGGCTCCTGGGGTGCCAAATGAAGACTTTCCTTGGTGAATTTTGGGTCCCATACTGGGAAGTAAAAATTGGAGTCAGCAACCTGGAACCTGTCATTCTTTGCTTTTTTTAATTTGAATTACTTAAATCCTCCAGTGCTTTGACTTATTTCAGTCTTGCATGTGAAACTGCAGCTTCTTGTTAAGTCTGCTTAGAGTGACGAAAACGCTGGACATTCCCAGTCATTAAATAGTGCAGCTTTCCTCTTCTTTTCCAAGCTTGTTGCTTAAATCAAGGAAAGGCTTTTGGGAGAGGTAGCAATGATGCTGGTTTTCCCTCTGCAGAGGTATGTAAGAGGATATTTTGCTGAGGTTTCCCCTAGCTGCTTTGTTCTCTGAGATGTCCCTGAAATGCTACAAGGCTTTCCAGCTACATTTGACCCATAAGACCCATAGAATTTTTTTTTATATTAACAATTCTAATTCAAAGCTATTTTGAGACAAAAATTAGAATAAACCCCAAGGGGATTTCCTAGCCCTAGTAGTGGGCAATTTCTATTACTGAGTGTGGCTTCAATCACCAAATACTTCTGTAAATACAGCCTTTGTGTTACTTGTCAAATGAGGATGTCACAAACAAAAATGTACACAACTCTCTTCCTAGATAAAAAGAAGAGTTTTCCTGTGCCTCATTTTAACACACAGTCTTTGATGTATTTACAGTGGGACAGTATTCAGGATCTTCTGGGGCACCCTGTAGAAAAGCCAGTGGTGCTTCACAGGTAAAGATCTCTTTATTTTCCTTGCAGGGATTGTGCTGATAAGAGGATGAGTTTAGGCAGAAGAGTGTTTATTGCACTGGTTACTTTTAGGTAATTCCTGATAGTTTCACACAATTTGGCCACTGACAGACGAGATGGCTGCTCTCAGACAAAACAAGGTGACATGCAGAAGGAAAACTTGGAAAACTTTGGAATGAAATTTCCAAAATTCCTTGAACTGTAAAACCCAGAGAAGAGCTAAACAGCATGTAAAGAAGTATCTCTGTTCACGTGTAGCAAAGAGCACAGTGTGTAGTGTATATGATAGCAATCTGTCTGGAGAAGCCTTGCCTTTATGAACACATAGTTGTTCTATGGTTCTTCTAGGCTGACTGAAGATAGACTAGTGTGCTTAATGCTCGCTCAGTTCCTACAGGGATTGAGCTGGGTGTTGGGTTAAAGAGGAATTACCTGCTTGCAGCACTATCATTCTGTGGTATCATATGAAACTGTGATTTATCTTGGGACAAATATAAGGCATGGGTACTGGGAAAATACTGCAGCAATTTCAGATAATACTTAACAAAGTATTTTCTTTAGACTCTCATAGGATTTTGAGTTTGATTTCAAAATCATTGTGCCCTTTGCTCCCCTTTAATCCTGTTTTATTCCGATGAGATCGTTAGAGCAGAAGCCATGTAAAGTAAAGCTGGGGTGCAATAGTGATTACGTAGAGTCCTGCTATTTTTTCATCTGTGTTGTAGAGAGTAGTTCAACCACAGTTTGCTTTACTGAGCACATCTTGAATGTCTCAGGCAATTTGAGAAATTGACTAGTTACAAGAAAGGCCAAAAAGGTAAATATTTTCAAGGGGGATTTGTCTGTAATCTAAAATCCATTGCAGTCAGCAGGAGTCTGCCATTGTCATATATATGATCCAAAAATATCAGAAATATCTGAAGGACAGGTGATGCATTAATCTTGAAAAGTGCTGTTTAATAAAATGTGGATTATTCTATTTCAGCATCTTACAGGGTAATTTTTAACATGATAAAATCAGTGAATTAATAGACAACATATAGTAAATACATTTGGTAAAGGCTGAGAAATAAACTGGATTGAAGAATGGGAAAGGATCTTGCACAAAAATAATTTGTAATAAATTTCACAGTGCTTGTCTCTTCCTATGTATCTGCTTATTTTCAGGGTTCTTCCTGTTCAAGTTCAGTGAAAGAGAGTTTTCCTGTAGAGGTTGTTAATAACTTTTTGATTACTTTCTTCCTGAGTATTAATAACTGCTTTGTGACATTAAACAGAGGTATCCTCTCGCTCACCTGAGGTCTAGCAGTGGTGTTGTGTAACAGAGATTTACTGCTTTGATGAAAGCCATGATAAAGATGCCATTATTTACCTTATGTTACTGAGTGGTTATCCTTCCCTGTGAAGTTCCTGACCCTCACACATCTTTCCCCCCTCCACCCTTTTCTGTTCAGGTCGTCATCTCCGAACAACACTAACCCATTTGGGTCAACGTTTTGCTTTGGACTGCAACGAATGATCTTTGAGGTTAGGAGGAAAACTTTCTTATTTCTTTAAACAAGAGAAGATGAGGAGTTTGCTATTATTACTACTAGCTTCTTATTTCCCATTTCAAAAGAGCCAGCACTTGGGAGTGGCTGTATTTTTAGAGCTTTTTGGCAGAAACGGGCAACTTTCGAGTCTCTGAGGTTGTACATTTGCATGTTAAAGCTGGGACTTCAAGTTTGTCACCTAGAACTCGTACTAGCAAGAGATGCATGTACTGAGCTCTAATTAGTGGTGGAGCATGCTGATGATTAAATGTGTCATGGAAATCTAGAGATGATTTTTAGGAACTAGCCAAGAGCTTGATGCTTTCTTTTGTTGTCAGGATTTCTTTATTGAGGCAGATCAGTTCCGTATTTGCCATTTTCACTTTGCTGACTCCCCGTTTGGTGTAGAGTTCTTTTAATTTCCCTTTTTCCCTGTCATCCTTTTTCCAGGTGATGCAGAATAATCACATAGCTTCTGTTACTCTGTATGGCCCAACGCGGCCCAGCAGCCAGTTGAGAACATCGGACCTTCCCCAGTGAGCATCCCCTGCAAAGTCAGCTAATCTCAATGCTACAAAATTAGTACAGCGTGCCTTGATTTGCTGCCACTTATCATATGGAAAGCACGTTATGATTTTTATTATTATTTTTTTTTCAATAAGCCTTTCCACCCAGGAGCGGTGTGGAGGGGAAATTCTCTCAACCCTTCATCATGGGGCATGGAACTGTTGATGGAGGAAAGCAGCTTAGGTGCCTGTGCCGTCGTTTATTCCTCTCCGTTGCCCTCATCCTATGCAGCACAGACCTGACAAGACTGTCCCCCCCCTTCTCAGCTGGCAGAAGGGGGAAATGGAAGAGGGGCACATAATGACTGCAAGAGTTAGAAGCACAAACTTTCTGAGCCTTGGAGCATCTGGAAGCAGGTATTGATTTTAGTCTGTTTGTGTTACTGTATTGATGTGGTGGTCACATTTTAAGAAAAACGTGTGTGTATATATATATAGATATAAACACATCGGTATTTCTGTGGCTTAGGACATTGTACCAAGTGTGACAAGGATGTATATATGTCCATGATTTCAGGCACCACATCTTTGTGTAACTTCAAACCAAGCAAGTAGCGTGTGCATAATACTTGGTTGTAACATTTGCACTACATACACTTTAATTACTTGATAAACGTTTATCTTCACTGAGGAGCATCTGTGTACTGGGTGTGAGTGGGGTGTGATGGTTATTTAATGTACGCTGCGCATAAAGCTTATTTATACAGTGGATCAAATTTATCCACCTTCCTGCACTAATATGTACTTGATATGCTGAAACAATTTTTTTCTGCCATGGCTGGTTTACTAATTTTTTTTTATTATTATTTTCATATGCAGTTTAAAAAAAAAATAAATCTGGAAGAGGGTGTTTCTATGATTGAATTATGTTTTAGTGAAAAGGTTTGATAAGATTTTTCATACTACAGAAAAATTTAATGAAGAAATAGCATCGCCTCATTTGCCTTTGTTACAAAATCCTTTATTCCTACAGTTTCCTTAAGAAAAGCTGTATATAATGGTATCTCAGACAGAAATTCCCAAGCTCTGCCATCACCAAGAAAACCTTTTCTGTAACTTTTGATGTATGATTTTAATTTATGCCAAAGGTTTAGCCAAAGACATCCTTATTGTAGTTTCACCATTTCTGTACATATATGCTAACTGCACACCCCACCCCAGCAGACAGGATATAGGCTTCTTTCTAGTTGGGAGATGCTGCTCGCGACATTTTTATCCCAGGAGGATACTTTAGGTTTCCAGTTGTCTTACCAGTCTTATTTGGGGGAAATAGGTGGTCTGTCTTTGAAATATTGAACCCTTTTTAAAAATGGACAAGAGAAATGTATAATTTTATCCCATTTTTAATATTTTGGTGTAGCAACTTGTGATACATAAATGACAATTTTGTGAGTTTTACTATGTGTGTACAGATTTTGTAAATATGACATTTTTGTAATTTTAACTCCATGTACAGTGTAATCCTGTATAGTTTATCAATGAATGAGAGATAGGAAATCGAATGTTAACTGAAGTTTTGGATCCTGGACCAGTAGCAGGGATAAATGTGGTGTGTGTGCGTGTGTGAGATGTTCTTTGCCATTTAGTCTTCCTGTATACTGTGATACTCTAAACTGTTTTGCTAAAACAAACAAAAAAAAAAGCCCCATGGAGAATCTAATGGATAAGGAAAAAGTTACTGTTTACCTTTATCCCTAGGTGTCACTCCTGTTGAATCCCTGTTCAATCTGTGCTGTCTCCTGTGATCATTGCTTGCTAAGAAAATTCTATGCCTCAACCTTCCTTTTGTTTCCTCTCTAATTTTAATTTCATTTTACATAGCCCTTCTGTAAATTAAATGGAATAATAATGAGCATGTACACTGAAAGAAAAATAAAATGAGACTCTCAGTTACTGTTTTTGTGTTAAATACAGTTGCTGGGTGTTTTTGTAATAAAATAATGGATGTTTTTGCTTTTTTTTTCTTCTCAATTAGTCCTTTTATTTTACTGTCTTTCAGATGTTATATTTGAAGCACTTGACTAGTTTTCTTTACAGCAATACAGTATGTTCTCTGAAGAAGCAGTATGAAAAGTAACAACACTTGCGGTCTTTTTCCTAGTAGGTAGATGAAAGCATGTTATAAATCATTGCCCTGAAGTGGAGAAGGAAAGTCTTTAAAGTATGGTAAATAACACCATGTATTGTGTTCAGAAATGTGATTGTTACAGTCGTGTCAATCAATCAAGCTTCAGTGTTTGAATACCAAACAACAGAAGGGAAGAAATGTCTGCAGTAGAAGGAGCAAATGTGAATTCTCATACTGCTTTTGTGTGCCCTCAGGTACTTCAGTAGAAAAAGCATTGAAGTCCACTTACCCTGAAGCAGCTTAGAGGCTAATGCAGGGCGTAAGGAATGGGGCTGCTGTTCCCATTCTCGTTTCTCCTGCACTGGCTCTGTAATGCAGGGAAGAGCACTTAGCTCTTCTCCTCTAGCATCCTTCACTTTTGGAATATAAAATGACCTTGCATAGTGCTTGGCTCAGTGTGCTCTTGGAGAATTTTATGATCTCTGAATTGAGATGGTGTGCATGCTTATGCTTGTTACTAATGCTTAGGCTTGTTACTAAAATATGACAACAATCCTGCTAATAATTTCAATTAACTTTAATTAATCCTTTTCTAGTAAAGGCTCCAGGTTAGCTGCAGGAGAGACATTCTTGATGAGACAGTTTGAGTAATGGCTACGCAGATATTACCAGTATCCTGCTGTCAAGCATATTCAGTTGAAATTCTTCAAAAGAGTGAGGTCAGGACTGCTGCTATAACATGCACCTCGAGACTTAGGACAGGATGTCAGCAGCTAACCAAAGGTATTTAACAGCTTCAGTGACTCCCATCTTCACTTGTCTGGTGAGTCAAAGCGAATAAAATAACGTAGATAATTTAAATGTGCTCTCTTAACAGCCCAGATACTTCTTTAGGTCAGTCCATCTTGAAAAGTTCCTCTGCAACAGACAAAAATTAAAGGCAACTTTGCACTTTGGCTGCTGCTGATGGGCCGAGCGCAAAGCATTTGACTTTGGGGAGATGCAGAGCTGTAGAAGGGCACAGGGAGATGATGTGAGCAACACTTTTGGGTTTCCTCACCCTTCCCTTGTGATGCAGCTGTTCATAGCTTGCTTCTCTGAGATGTTTAGATTTGTTTGCTGCTCTTTGGATGAAACCAAGGCAGGTTGTTCCTGTGCAGATGCATTAGGGGAGCTGGTGTGGAGCCTTGTGGACTTACTGTCATGAAGAGGTTAGGACTGGGTAGGGGGGACTGATTGCAGTTGTGAATTGCCAGAAGGAAGAGAGGAAGGAATAGGGGAACAGAGGAGCTCTTGGGGGGAAGAAGGTAGGGATGGCAGTGTGACAGGAGGAGGGGCTGGGACAAAGCTGTATATTTGAACCAAAAGCTGTTCCTTGCAGAGGGGTAGGTGCTCAGGGCGCAGCAGTGTGTCAGCTTGTGCTCTGCCAGGCCAGCTGGGCAGGGTGCACCACATTCTCCTCCCAAAGGAACTGAGAGATTTGGGCTGTGCCAGGTCCCATCTTGGCAGGTACCCTTGTTAAAGTTATGTATGGCTCGATACAGATCCTGCATGTTGGCAACATGGGCATTGGTCCATCATGGTTTCATGTGTTAAAACTGATATAACATTAAGGACAATTGCATTTTGAATAAAGCACATTGTGTATACGATCCCATTTTGATGTGTGCCTTTTTCTTTTGTATAGAAATTAAGAGTTTGTGTGTGTATCTGCTTAACTTGAATACTGCAGTATGTTCCTGTGAGTATGCCAGGCCATACTACATAGATCATTGCTGCTGTGTAATAGGAGAACCCCCTGTTCCCCAAAATGTCAAGAAAACCCAATTTTCTGTTGCTGGGAACTATCACATGTCTAATTCTAAACAGATTTTTTTTTTTTTTTTCCCTGAAACAGTAATCACGTTGTGTGTGAGAACTGATTCATGCACTCATGATTGTTCATATTCCGGAGCTCCCATCAAAACTATTTAAAACAAAATCTTTCCTGTGACTCAGTGAGACGGTGATTCATTGTTATCAGGGGCTGGCTGGAGGTTAGTTGCCAGCTGGCATTTTCCAAAGGGAAACCAAGGGGGTTGGTGCCCCATTCACATGGACTTTCTAGGTGGTGTTAGAGCCTGTTAGTCACTTAGCAGCTCTGCAAAGCTGAACTTCTGTTAGGTTTTGTGTTTGATGGCTCCAGATGTATTTAAGAGTAAATCTCTTACTTTGTAAGAAATGTTATGTCCAAGCTGTAGCTATTTGCTTGCTTCAGAGTGTTAGGACATGGACCAAGATGTCTGATATTGTAGAATTTCATGTGGGCTCATTGTGTTTTACACTTCAAGTTCAGAATAATTATTGGTGTCGTGATGGTTCTTCAGTGCTCAGTTCTCCAGATCCTAGCTAGCACTTCTGTGCTAGCTCTGCAGGCTCTTCAAAATGAGGGTGGTGGATCATTGGAACAGGTTACACAGAGATTTAGTGGAGGCTCCATCCCTGGAGATATGCAAGGTCAGGCTTGATGGGGCTCTGAGCAATCTACTGTAGTAAAGATGTCCCTGCTCACTGCAGGGGGGTTGGACTAGATGACCTTTGAAGGTCCCTTCCAACCCAATACATTCTCTGATTCTATACAATTGTTCCACATCAACTTTTGTCCCATGAACACATTTCTTCATTACTTCACCTCGTTTATCTTGATTACACCAACACAAAGGCACTCTCCTCGATGGCTGATCCTGTCAGACACAACCTGACACAGCCCATGTAGCCAAAGAAATACATCACTCCGTGTGTTCAGGGTTTCATAACATACAAATTAGTTCTGAGTTGTTTTTTTTTTCCATGGAAGATATGGCCGAGGATGTTTCAGAGAAAGTAAGGTTGAAGCAAAATAAGGGGAGGTGAAAAATGAAGCTTCCGGGAGATTTAACTCTTGAGCATTAAAATAGGATTGGGAGTTAACGAAGTTAGGAGCTTCATTGAACGCCAGGGTGTAACTGGTTCATTGAGGGAAAACTGCCCTTACAAAGGGATTTGTTTCTGCAGGGAACTTATGTGTTACTTGAGAGGGTTCAGGCTGAACTTAAATACTGTATTCTCTACCTGTGTGTATTTTAGCTCTAATTAAGAATCATAGAATCATAGAATGGTTTGGATTGGAAGGGACCTTAAAGATCATCCAGTTCCAACCCCCCTGCCATCAGCAGGGACACCTTCCACTAGATCAGGTTGCTCAAAGCCTCATCCAGCCTGGCCTTCAACACTTCCAGGGAGGAGCAGCCACAACTTCCTTGGACAACCTTGTCCACTGTCTCACCACCCTCACAGTGAAGAAATTCTTCCTAATATCTAATCTAAACCTCCCCTCTTTCAGCTTAAACCCATTTCCCCTTGTTTTGTCATTAACTGCCCTTATGAAAAGTCCTTCCCCAGCTTTCTTGTAGCCCCTTCAGGTCCTGGGAGGCCGCTATAAGATCTCCCTGGAGCCTTCTCTTCTCCAGGCTGAACAGCCCCAACTCTTTCAGCCTGTCTTCATAGGAGAGCTGCTCCAGCCCTCGGATCATCCTGGTGGCCTCCTCTGGACTTGTTCTAATTGGTCCATGTCTTTCTTATGTTGGCGGCTCCAGAACTGGACGCAGTATTCCAGGTGGGGAAAGTCACGGTTTAAATATTTTATCTGCCAAACCTTCTATCCAACGCTTTTATTTTGTGTGTGGGGATGTGTATTTTTCCAGCAGGCAAAATCATTCCTTTTCATGATCTGGGAACACCAACTGCTTGAAACAACGGGAAAGGTAAGCTGGAGCTTGCAGAGCAGGTAACTTACTGTGGGGTAAGATACTGTTATAGCAGTAACTTTTGTTTTAGTCTAGACTGTAATGCTTTAATATAACCTTTTCTCTTTCATACCCTAATTAATTCCCCTTTAAAAGTTAGTAGTTTGGTCATGTTAAAGTACTGCATATTGCAATTTTGAAAGCTGATTTTAAATGCCTTAATGTTTCACACCTACGCTACGTACTCCACTTGGTGCAAAGTTTCAGTCCACTTCCGAGAGACATTTATTTTAAATACCAATCACAAAAAAAAACCCCAAAACCCTGCATGATTATGCAGTGTGCAGTCTAATCAACTAAGTAATTAAAACAACCTGCATCACTGTGTTCCCTTTTCACCTCTGCTGGGCTCTCTTAGCAAAACTGAAGCCCTGAAATCCCAAGTTTGCCCCATTCCTTGCTGGGTGGCTCTGCTGCATCTATAAATATGGAGCCTACTAAGATTGTTTCACCCTTTTCTTCTTCTATGGCCACAGCAAGCATTTGTCTTAATATCACAGGGAAAAAAACTCTCTTATTATAGATTTATTTATTTTCCCCTGGTCTCAGCACTTGGCTTTTTAATGGACAGGCTGGGAAAGGGAGAGAGAGAGAGAGAGAAGATCCATGAGCTGGGTTTGGATGACTTAGAGAGAGAGAGAGCATTGGGCTGGTCAGGACTGGTGGGGGAGCTGTTGGCTGCTCTTGGAGGGACTCAATGGCACTCATCCTTTGGGGTTTAGCTTCGTCTCCGATTTCTCAGTATTTCTTACTGACCGTAAGCCTAGAAAATAATGGAAGGTTGGATTTTAAAGTTTTACTGGTTTTGACAAAGGTCAGTAGAGTTAATAGCGTCATTAGGGAAATGTGGTGAGCTAATTTTCAGGGCTGCTGAGACCTGCAACTCGAGCTGAAGCAGTTCTTCAAATAGGCTTTTGGGGTAGGCTTCCCCCCCCCCCCCCCCCT